TTTTTTTTTTTTTTTGGTACTGGGGATCGAACTCAGGGCCTTGTGCTTGCGAGGCAGGCCACCAAACCACTGAGCTAAATCCCCGGTCCCTCTGTAGAGTTCTTACTTCATAACAATTATTATATGTGCACCACAGATTCACAGACTGTTTCCAACTATTGTAGAGGAATGTTAAATCATCATTAGGAAACAAATTTTGGCTAGTTAACTATGAAAATAAGCAGAAAAGGGAAAAAAGCCTATTGGTAGGAAAGAATATGAGTTTATGCTTTGCAGAAGATACATTTGTCTAGCTAGAAAACCCAAGATAGGTAAAAGAAAAAAAAAAAGAGTTCACTAAGGTGCCTGATAAAATCATTAAATTAATAATTTTCTAACAGATATACTTTATTGAGAAATAAATATATGTTGTAATTATATATTAAATAGTGAATGCCATCTGATATAGTCACAACAATAAGCAAAACAATATGACATAATTTAAAACCCAGAAATAAACTCTAATGTGGGTAAGAATTTCATATATGATGTAAGTAGCATTTCTAGTCAGCAGGAAAGGAAGGATCTATTCCATAAATGATATTGGGACAACTGCCAAAACATTTGGAAAAAACATTTTTCCTACATTTAAACATATACCAAAATGTGCAATAAGATGACACAAAACCTAAAATAAAAATAAGTAGTTATTTAATTAAGGAAAAATTTTCTCAGTATAAAAGAAATGAAAGAAAATTTAAATAAAATGAAACATTTTTTAAAAAAGGAAACTAACAGAACTGGTTAGGTTCAGATTCATTTGGCATTACTGATTTCTTTATATATACAGATAATATATAAGAATAGAAATATACACAAGAGAAAGAATTACTTCACAAAAGACAAGGATGCAGATATAGAAATAGTAATTTTAAAAATGCAATTAAAATGTATTTTTTGGTCCACTGGTTTAAATGTATTACTACAACATCAGCAGTAGTATACCAATAATGGTAAAGCTGGCATTAACAAAGTAATTCAATACTATGCTAGTGGACGTGTTCATAAAAGAAATGCCAAATAATTTCATACTCAGGAATTTATTTTAATGAAATACTTGGAAATGAGAACATATATTTATTTGTTCTTAAATTGGGAAATGTGATACACACTAAGATTTCAAATTAAATGAGATTGGAAATCTTTAGTATGTTCTGAAAAACAATATACAACCCTAACTTCATAATTTAGTATTTTAATGTCACACTAGATCGCTATGAGATTTGTACATAGATACCAATGTCACTACAATACATTTTGAGCACACTTATGTAAGTTATTTTGAGGCTTAGCAAACAACCCCCAGAACCCCGCAACAAAACACTCCACTTTACAAAAGGGGATTAATATAAAAGAGGAACTATTTTCCTAACATGGCAAGACTTAGACTTATAATTATGTAGATAGTTACCTTAATAAAATTAAGCATCCAATTAAACTAAAAACTCACTGAACTGAAAATACATATGTCAGTAAGAAATATTTTGTAACAATTAAAATAACAAATGAGGTACCTTGGCTCCGAGGCTGAAGTGCTGGATATTCCTTCAAATAACTGTCAACTGTAAAGACTTCACTGTAGTCCTTGTAAGTATACAAGCCTTCCTCTACATTATTTGGGGAGTTTGGATTTGAACTGGGGACAATTTCTTCAAACTCATCATTAACCTGAGTCTCCATTCCTGTAACTGTCTTTCTATAACATTATAAAATTATTGATTTTACTACATCATATTTTAAAACATTTTTATTAATAAATAGTACATGCATATTGTGGTAAAAATGATCAAATTCCAACACATCAATAACCTTACCATTTGAGGTCAATACAAAACTTACATAAATTTCTCAATTTTGTTTTGGTACCTGGGATCAAGTTCAGAACCTTGTGCTTGAGAGGCAGGCAGCAGCACCAGTGAGCTAAATCCCAGCCCTCAGTAATTTTTATATATTTAAAACTAAAGTGGATTCGTGTACAGGGTAGTCTGTAATCTGCTCTTTTCTGCTGAACCGTGAAGCGTGGGCATGTTTACATATCAATGTACATTTGTTTCATTGGAATGGAGGAACAGGATCCCACTCTATTAGGGCTACCATTGTATCTTCCATGTCTCCCAAAAGCCCATGTGTTAAAGACTTGGTTCCAGAGAGGCACTCGTGGGTGGTGGTGGAACCTTTCCAGGTGGGATCTGGCGGGCAGGCTTTAGGTCACTGGGGCGCCTATGAAGGGAACAGTGGGACCCTGGCTCCTTATTTTTCATCTCTTTCAACTCCAGTCCAGGAGATGAGTAGTTTTGATCTGCCAAGCGCTCTCCATGACACACTGCCTTACCAGAGAACCTAAAGCAATGGAGCCAATTGAAATATTTAAAACTGTGATCCAAAATAAACCTATAAATATCTTTAAAAATTGATTATCTCAGGTGTTTTGTTGAAGTAATGGAAAGCTGACTGACATAATCAGTAAATCATAATTTAGTCAACCAGTTGCCTATTTTGGAAATTTAGGATAGTTTTTAATTACTCCCTATTATGAGCAACAACACAAGGAATATCTCTGTATAGTTATCTAATCATTTTCTCAAAACACATTTCCCCAAAACAGAAATTATGAAGTTAAAGGTCTACAGCTTTTGTGTTTGTCACACACTGCCAAACTGCCCTTGTGTTGTATTTTCAATGTCTGCTCCACAATACCATTGTCCAAACTTTTACGTTCTGCTTTGCAAAACTGGGATGCTGATCTCTATGAACCAAATGAATTATTATGCTTCTGGCTTTCGGCTAGGTTCAGCCAACAAAAATGGAGGGAGACTCATTGGAATATTATTCCTCCCAAACAAATCCTTCTCTGCTGGGCCACAGTATGGAAATGACTGTACTCTTCCATTAAAGGTTTCATGTCTTATCAGACAGCCCTTCTCCTCAAGCTGTACCTCTTACTAGGTTGATAATCACCTGGTGCCCCTCATCTCGACAAGCTTAGATTGGTTAACAATGTCCTTTTGTTCCCAGTTTGGGAACTTTTTTTTTCTTCCTTAAGCTTACTCATACTTACGTGTTTCCTGATTGATACAGGTTTATCTGCCATTGTCTATACTACTAAGATATTGACATTACAAGAGATCTTCCAACAGATAAATACTATTGGCAATTTAACTATATATCCTACTATACCTTTTTGCTGATATTCTAAAATAGTTTACCCCTAATAATTCCCTTGTACAGATGAGAGAAGCAAAATTAATATAACTCACCAATATATGTGGAGAAAAATATTAGTATGCTGCATCTTAAACTCATAGGAATAAAAATTTCTACAATTTCTCCTTCACTCTTTTTTTGGGGCATCTTTAAAACAGGGTCCATGTAGTTCACTATGTAGCCTCGGCCAGCCTTGAACTCATAGATCCTCCTGCCTCAGCCTTCCAAGTGCTGGGATTACAGGCATGTGACAGCACGCCTGGCTCCTTAATTCTTAAAGAAATACAAGTACAAGAAGAAATTTTCCAACTCTCCCATTTCATATTATTCTTTAAGAGCACCGATTCATATGTGAATTTTATAGATTTCAGAATTTAGTGCTTACAATATCTACTGTCTTTTTAAAAATGCTGACAATGGTAGTATTTTGTAATAATACTTGGTGCTATAGTTTTGAGAATGCCTAGTTAGTTCTCTTTCTCTTGATAAAAATGATCCAGAAATAGTAGTGTTTCTTGACTCTCCTTTTATCTCCCTTTCTAATGTTATTCATTCTCTTTTCATTGGTGCCTCCTCCTTTGCTAAACCTATAAATACTGGTGTTTCTGAAATTTCAAAGTCTAGATAGTCTTCACTTTCTTTTGCTATCATTCTTTATGGATGATTTCATCCACAGCCATTCATTAATAACTTAAACAGGGTTATTTTTGGTGGGGTTGTGGGGAGAAAGGAACCCTTCTCCATCGTTGGTGGGAGTGCCGACTGGTGCAACCACTATGGAAATCAATATGGAGATACTTCACAGAGCTGGGACTAGAGGTTCCATTTGACCCAGCCATCCCTCTGCTGGGTATCTTTCCAAAAGAATTAAAAGAATCATACCACAGTGATATATGCGCACCTATGTTTATAGTGGCACAGTTTGTAATAGCTAAAACTTGGAAACAGCCCATTTGCCCATTAGTTGGAGACTGGATAAAGAAGATATGGTTTTTCTATAAAATGGAACTACTCAGCCATAAAGAATGAGAAAGTAGATTCATTCATAGGAAAATGGATACATATTGGGGATATACTCCTAAGTGAAATAAATAAGTCACACATGATGTATAAATACTGAATAGTTTCTCTGTGAAAAACTATAATGGTACACAAGATCCTAATGAGATATCTGACAATGTGAAATAGGAAGGAAAGGGCAAAAGGTGTAGGGAAAGTGGGAAGGGTAGGGGAAGGGGAATAAGGGAAAGGAAAAATATCTGAGAAAATTAAAAAATGGAAATAAAGTGTTTGTAAATAGGGAAGGGAGGAGTGGGGGAAGGGAGGGCAGGAGTATGGGTAAAAAATGAGACCCAAGACCTGTCATGTAAAGGTGCAAGATCCCAATGATGAATGTAACTGTACTATATACCTAAAATGTACCAATAAACTCAAAGAGAGAAAAAAGAAAAATATTTATTGAATGTCTACAATGTGCTAATATTATTTTAGGTGCTGAGAATGGACTGGTGTATAAAACAAAGTTCACGCCCTTACAAAGTTTACCTGCTAAGCGGGGGATAGACAAATAAGTAAATAAATCATGTAAAGTGGAAAAAGTGTTATGAATGAAATGAAACAAAATATTTGGACATCATATAAGAGCCAGAGAGTTGGTAAGAGGTAGGCTTGTTTGTTTGTTTATTTTACAATACTGTTGACAGAACCCACGGCTTTTGGACTGAGCTATATCCCCAGCCCTTTTTCATTTTTTATTTGAAGACAGGGTTGGACTAAGGTGTTAAGTTGTCCATGCTGGGCTTGAACATATGATCCTCCTACCTCATCCTCCCAAAGTGCTGTAATTACAGGCAGGCTCTTGCACGTATGGCTTAAGAGGTATATTTAAGAGAATATAGTTAGTGAGTGCTGATACTTCCATAGCTATCTGAATAACAGCAGGGAGTGAACCATACAAAGGCTTAAAAAAAGAAAATAACCTTGTCATATTTTCTTTGTTTTTCTTCAGGAAAAACAAAGTTCAGGGTAACTGGAACAAAGAAAGTTTAGATAAGTAGGCAGGGAACAAATCATTCTAGACCTTGTAAGCCTTGGTAAACTTTTAGATTTTATTCTTTGTGCACTGAGATGTTGGTGGGTTATAAGAAGCATTTCATGATCTGATTTATGTCTTTAAAAGAGTCATGGGCAAATATTATGAACCAGTTTAATCTAACTCTACAGTGTAAAAAAAATATCACAGGCAACATTTTGGAAGAAAATAAAGGAGTAAATCCTTGTAACTTTGGGTCATGTAAAAATATCTTAGAAATGACACCAAAAGCACAAGTGATAAAAGAAAAAATAAGATAGCTGGGTTATATCAATGTTAAAAAATTATGTCAAAGGATATTATCAGAAAGATAAAAAAGATAATCCACTAGAGAAAATATTTATAAGCCATGTATCTGATAAGACTGATATCTGGGATATATAAAGAATTCATTCATTCATTCATTGACAAGGTCTTGCTATGTAGTTCAGGCTGGCTTTGAACTCACTGTGTAGCCCAGGCTGGCCTGAAACTCCCAGCAATCCTCCTGCCTCAGCCTCCTGAGTGGGCTTACACATGTGTGCCAATACACCTCACAAAGAATTCTTAAAATTCTGAGAACAAGACAGTTAAAAGGATGGGCAAAGGATTTATATAGCCATTTCTCCAAAGAAGATATACTAATAGTCAATAAACATAAGAAAAAATGCTCAAAATGTATTTGGGGAAATACAAATCAAAACTATAAGAAAATAAACTAAGGCATTGACTCAGGCAGCTATTACCAAAAAAATAAAATGATAAGTATTTAAAGAATGTGAATAAATTATAACCTTTATACACTGCTTATGGGAATGAAAATGGTATAGCTTTTTGGGTAACAGTCTGGCAACTACTGAAACAGTTAAAGACAGAGTTGCTATATGATCCAGCAATTTCAATCCTGGAAGGGTATCTGTTTACACAAAAACCTGTACACAGATGTTCATAGCAGCATTATTCATAATAGCCAAAAATGGAAACAACCTAAATATCTATCAGCTGATAAATAAATAAAATTTTCTATGTTCATATAATGGAATACTATTTAGCATTAAAAAATTAAATATTGGCATACAGTATATGATGAACCTCGAAAGTAGGTTAAAGAAGCCAATAAAAAAAGTACATATTCTAGGATTCCACTTATATGAAATACCAAGAACAGGCAAATTCACAAAGACAGGAAATAATCTAGTGTTTTTCTGAGGGGATGTTAGGAGCGACTGCTAATAGGTATAAGATTTCTTTTTGTGTGGATGAAGAAACTTTTAAATTGCTTGTGGTAATGGCTGCAGAAATTAGTGAATATATTAAAAACCAATGGATTTAAAATGGGTAAATTACATATAAGTTATATGTCAATGAAAATATTAAATTAAAAACATACAAAACACAATAGTACAGGGTTTGAAGTCAGTTAGACCAGGATTGCAGTCTTAACTCCAACCACTAACTCGCTGTGAAACCTTGAGCAAGTTATGTAATATCTCTCAGTTTCTCATACACACTGTTGTATGTATCAGCTTTCCATTAGCATAACAAATGCCTGAGATGACCAACTTGAGAAAAGGTTTATTTTCACTCAGTTTTAGAGGTTTCAGCTGATGAGCAGTTGTTGGCCCCTTGCTTCAGACCTGCAGGGGCGTATCACACCAGCAGCACATGCAGGGGTGGAACTGTTCACCTCAAGGCTCAAGCATAGAAAAAAAGAAATACAAAGGATTTGGGGTCCCACTGTCCCCTTCAAGGGCATTTCCTCAATGATCTAAAAGTGTCCTACAAGGCCTGGCCTCTTAAAGGCTCCACAATCTTCAAATAGTACCACCCTAGGGTCTAAACCTTTAACACATAGGCTTTTGGGGGAACATTCAAGATCAAAAATATAGGAGGATAATTGTTCTCACCTGAAATAGCTACTATGAAGAGTTCAGGAAATAATTATATGTGAAATCTATTGTATTCACTTGTATTCATCTGAATGCAGCAAGCCATGAAGAACAGAAAATACGGTTACATGTTCTTCCTCTTGCTCAATTTGGCCAAGTGCTCTGTCTTGGAAGTTAGGAAGCTTATTGCATAGTTCCTTCCCCCTCATCTCTCTGCATTTGGCCCTTGCTTCACTCCGCCACCCTTAAATTTAGTTCTTGTCAGCATTAGTCCAAGATGGCTAATGGAGCTAGTTGTGACATCCGTATTCCAGCATCAGGAAAGGGAAAAAGTGGAAAACATGTTCCTTCCCTTTAAGAACATTTTCCAGAAATTGCACAAGACTCTTCTACTTATAACTCACTTGGAAGAAAGTCAGGTGACGATGTCTAAGGAGACTGGTAATTGTGTATTTGATTCTGAGTGGTGCTAGGATTTCAATTTATTTGCCATGGACTCTAGTTTGGTATTGGAAAATGAATGGGCGGTCAGATAGGATAAAGCGGCCATTCCTTTATGGCTTCTCATTTCTTTCATTGATGAATCTTTGGTATGAGCCAAACTACCTTTATTAATACCTGCATTACACTCTAACTGCATAGTCCTATTCTATCCCTTTGGATTTTTTTCCTGCCCAAAATATTTAATCTCAAGTTAGTTTCTCCTTCAATGCTCAACCCAAGTGCAGTTCCTACTTATTTGTGAAGCTGATCTCTCCTACCAATCAAACTCATATGGTGGACAGAAATCTTAAAAATCATTTTGCTTTTGGACCAGCAGCATTAGTAATACTTATGAGCAGACTAGAAATGCAGAATCTCAGGCTCAAAAACAGATTGTCTGAATCAGAATCTGTCTTTTAATTAGATCCTCAGGTGATTCATATATAGTGGACCCTTGACTTAATGAACTCTATCCATTCCAAGGGCTGGTTGTAACTAAGTCAATACAGCTGAGATCTGGATGTTTACCTGGGTTCATGCTGTAGATAACAAGAGGCAGATAAATCCCCCATTAACCTAATTAATGCAAGTTGTTCATGTCAGGCCAGTTGTAATTTGAGGGTCCACTGTATACAGTGAAGTTTAAGAAGCACCAATCCAAAAAAGTCAGAGATACAATGACTAGTCAAGCAATTAGCAATTGACTTTTAAAGTCAAGAATTGAAGTCCCCATCTTTTAATTCATAATGCGGAATGTTTTTCACTAAACCATTTGTCACTGTTCAGGAGTTTACTCGCAAAGATTTTTTTTTTTTTCTTTTGAGACAGATCTTGCTATGTTTCCCAGGCTGGTCTTAAAATCTCAGCCCTCCCACCTCCACCTCCTCTGTACCTGGGATCTTAGGTCTGCTCACAGCACCTGTCTGACAGTTCTTATTGGCTTTGTCTTATAATGACCTTATACTGGTCATCTTACATTTGCTTATAATTCATACATTGTTATTTTCCTATGTGTATTTATTATCTTCCTAACCCAACTTACATATATCCCTAGATGACAGAAATTGTATATTAGGCTTTATTGTTTCCAGAGTCTAGACAGATTTCAATAATTTAATTTCAATTAAGGAAAACTTAAAATTACTAAAACTAGAAAATATGAATAATAATGAAATCCTTCCTGGGTCTGAACAACAGTCTGCATGAAGAAAAGCAATAGAGTAAATTATTTACATTAACCTCAAATCTCTATTTCTACATTAACAATATAGAACAAATTAGACGTCCTTCCTCATGTTATGTCTATTACTGTCACTGTACTCTGCACATCATTTTGTAATTATTTATTAGTGAAACACTATTTCTTATTTTTTTGTGTCTTTGAGGGTAAAGTCTACGTGTTATGTGATTTTTGTATCCTATATACAAAACATAAATATGCAAATATTTGATGCATGACTAAACTAGCAATAATATTTTCACAAAGTACACTAGAACACAATCTTATATCTGCATTTATACTATAGGAAAAAAGACTGATCTTAAAATACTTTCTATAGACAATTCCTAAAGTTTACTAATTGATTAAAAGCATGATAATGTATTTGTTCTATTTTGCAATGTCTTCTTCAACACAAATGCACAGAGAATAATTAAAATATGATAAATGAAGGAAAAATAAAGAGAGGATATAAATCACCTCTAATTAATCTCTCCTTTGTGATTCGAATTAGGGCTTTATGTTCAGTCAAATGAAAAAATATATAAGGAGATAAAGGAAGGGATTTTTTTTCCCTTTTCAGGTGCCTAGGGAATTTACTGTTTATCTCCTTCTAGATGTAAAGGGAAATTTGCAGGTAAGGATACATACTTCTCAAGGAAATCCTCCACAGAAAAACTTGCTTTCAATTCATCCAAGACTGAGGTGTCTGTTGTATCCCAAAGTGAAACCGCTGAGACTAGAAAGGAGAATGACAAGCATTAGCTTCGAAAATATTCTTTTACACTTAATAGAAGGAAGCCAAACTTTCACTTTTAACTTTAACTTTCACTGTTAACTTTATTTTTCACAAATGTATGAGATGTGATTAAAAAAATCCAGTGAATGTTTAAATTTTAAAATATTCATTGTAGTAAAAGACCCATTTCCCCTTAAAACACTTCCTCTCCAAACACTCCATTTTCCGTGCTACTTTCTAAAGCAGTATTTGCTTTTTAAATTTTTAGTTCATTAGTAACTGTGTGTAGTACATAATGTTTACATTCCTTGTAGGAAGTTGGTACATGTACATAACACATCTAAATTCCTTAATTCCCTCCTCCCTCCACTCATTCCTAGGTTCCCCTCCTGTTTTTGTTTTTGTTTTCCCCTGTACATGTTTACAAGCCTGACTTTTCACTGGATGGCACTAGGCAGCACCATTCACCATATTTTGATTATACCTTGTAAAGACACCCAGGAAGGCTGGGTGTGGTGGCCTATTCCTGTAAACCCAGCACTCAGGAGGCTGAGGCAGGAAGATCACTGTGAGTTTGAGACCAGCCTGGGCTTTATAGTGAATTTGAGGCTAGCCCGAACTGTACACAGCAGACTCTGTATCAAAAACAAAAAAGAGCCAGGTGTGGTGGCACACGCCTGTAATCCCAGCACTCAAGAGGCTGAGGCAGGAGGATCGCTGTGAGTTTGAGACCAGCCTGGGCTACATACTGAGTTCCAGGTCAGACTCAACTACATAGTGAGACTCTGTCTCAAAAAAACCAAACCAAACCAAAACAAAACAAAACAAAAAGACACCCATGAAAGAGGTCTTCTAGAACTGCTTCAGAAAGTGGCAAAAATGTAAAGCTAAGTGTGGTTAAAGTAAGAGAGAGTATTTTGAGAGGGATTAATGCCAATATGTCTTTCAGTATAATAAATTTTTAAAAATTTAGTTATTCAGCATATATTTTGATGACCTCTTCTAATTTTCCCAAAGTGATACCTGATTCCAAATACCTAATCATACTTATTTTTATAATCTGTCTCCCCCAAAACTTAACTACAACCAAAATAACATTTCCTGAAACATACCATCTTTGTTTTTCTAGCTTCTCTTTTGCTTAGAGAGAGCACTACCATCCTAGATAGTGCTATTCATAATGTATTTCATAAGGCTTTCATTAACATCCAGTTCCCCACTTTCTTGATGGTCCGTAACACTGTTTGTCGCATTCTCCTACTCAACCTTACATAGTTCTATATTTAAAATTTTGGGGGGTACCAGGGATCAAACTAGGGACCTTGTGCAGCAGGCAGCGGAACCACTAGGCTAAATCCCCAGTCCCCTTATTTAAATTTTTTTGCATCTGTATCTTGTCTCCCAAATTAGATCCTTGGTTCCTTTATGGAGATTAACCAGGTCAAATATTAGTGTCAGCATCTGCAACCGAGGACTCTGTTACCAGTAGAATCAGTGTTCTACTATCAGTATTACTGCTTAGTAGTTTTTTGTCTTTTTTGTTGTTGTTTTGTTTTGTTTTTTTGTTTTGTTTGTTTTTTGGTACTGGGGATCAAACTTGGGCCGTTGCACTTGTGAGGCAGGCGGTGGAACCGCTGAGCCAAATCCCCAGACCTTGTTTTTGTTTTTTAACCTTGAATCTATTGCTTAACATCTCAGTCTGTGCCTCATTGAAAAAAATATAGAAGTTTGGTAGTTAAGAATACAGGTTCTGGAATCACTCTGCTTAGATTGTAACCCTTGCAGTGCTGCTTATTAACTTTATGATCTCAGGTAAACCTTATAACCTCTTTGTACCATATGTACAAATTAGGAATAATGATGGTTAATCCACAGTCTTATGGTAAAGATAAAATGTGATGACACATACAAATTATTTAGAGCAGTGCCTGACATGCTGTAAATGCTCAATGAGTTTTGGCTGTCATTATTATTTTTAAAAAGACGTAAAAGAAAAAATGATAAATCCTTTTCTATCCTGCACTTCTAAAGCAACAATGTGATAAACACTATTCTATATTTCCAACATAAAACCTATCATCCATCAACCCTTCTGTTTTCATATTTATCACCCTTCTTCATATCATCAGAGCCTTTCTTATACAGTGTAGGCTCCATGGTCAGTCCCATAATCACAGTCTTACAAAAACTCTTGATTCTCTTCTCTTCCCCTTATATTAATTCAGGAAAACACTTACTCTCAATTTTCTGTGTATATACTTTATAACAGCTGTAAATTACTGTAAAAAAAAATCACCCCATCATGCCGCATGAACTAATTTCAAATAATAATCATAAATTCCAAATGGCCATCCAATATAGACACATGGAATAGTATATATCCTAATAAGAGTGGCTTTCTTGCTCTTTAAAACAGCTGTTTCACAAATTCTTAATGTCCATTCTCCTACCCCTATGACTGCTTTCACATACAAAATTGATATAAATAAAGAACTACCTCATCTTCCACCACCAATTCTACCAACCTACTGGCATAAGTACCTACAAACCCTATTCTCCTATCTATACAAGAGAAGAAACATTCTGGAGCCTATTAAATACCAGCTTCTCTAATTGTACTCTTGCTTCTATCCCTCTTTACTCTGAAATTATCCCTTTTATTTCCTGCATCATCACATTCTCTTTTCACCAAGCTTATTTCCACAGGCAGAGAAAAAGGTCAGGTGGAGACTTACTGTGTAGTTCAGGCTGCCCTTGAACTCACTATGTAGCTCAGGCTCGCCTTGAACTCCAGGCAATCCTCCTTCCCCAGCCTGCCAAGTGCTGGGATCGCAGGTGTGTGCCACCACGCCCAGTTTAAAAAAAAAGAAAAAACATTTTAGTCTCCCCTTGTGTTTTAAAAAATTAATGTTTAAAATAAAAATAACTCTCTTTACCTCATTCTTTCAGATAGTGTTTCACTTAAAAATTTTCCTTTATTAACAAAATGCCTCTACACCAGGGATTTAGCTCAGTGGTGCTGCCACCTGCCTAAAAAGTGCAAGGACCTGAGTTCGATCCCCGGTACCCCTCCCCAAAAAACCAGTTCCTCCAGTTACCCAATTCATACTTTTCTGAATATTCTCCAATTATATTTCAGTATACTCCAGTCACACTCCAATCATGTTTTAACCATATTAATAACCATTTCAAGGAAGCCACTCTTATCATGGTTACCAATGACTTACTTTAGTTAACGCTCAATTTACTATTCTCATCTCACTTGATCTTTCAGTAGGAGCCAAAACCCTTGACTTCCTTCTTCAAGCACTTTCTCCTTTAGAATTCTACATCACCATGCTCATTTGGTTTTCCTATGTTACTTCTTAGTTGATGCCTCCTTCTAAAATAACATTTCAACTGCTGGAGTGATCCAGGAGTCTTTCCTATTCTCTGTGCTTTATGCATACTCTACAATGCTATATGCTATTGGTGACTTCTTCCAGTTTCATGAGTTTCTGTGAAATCTATATATTGATAACGCCAATTTGAAACTCTAGCTTGTGAAACAGATGGACTACAATAGTTACCAACTTGTCTGAGTATGGTGAGACAGAACATCTCCACACAAGTTACCTGAAGTGAACTTATTACTGTACTTTCAAACAGACAGTAAATGACAGCAGAGGCCTAGAATTCAGTGCACCACAAGGCTCAGGAAAGTTGCCCCGGGATGGACAGAATCCTGGAATCTTCATGTGTTCCACTTGCACAGAAACTGAGGTACTCCAGAAACCAGCCTATCCTAGGTTTTAGATAGCCAAGTTAAAACTTACTGGATCAAAGCATAGAAGTACATCCTGTTTCAGGTATGACTGGGCTGTTGCAGGTAGTTCCTTCCTTATTACAGGATGCTGCATTTCCCAGCACAATTTAGTTATTCTGAAGAACTACAAGTAAGAAAGAGCAGACTGGGTTGGTCCAAGGACTCCCAGAGAACTGTTATGCACAGGTGTGCTGAAGATTAATGTAATCACTTCTTTTTAATGTCTTCATTTATATACCTAATAAATGGGGCAAAGTAGAGCTGTTGACTCAAGACAAAAACTGGCTTCTCCAAGAGCCTTTTCCTATTTTAGGAAAAGGCACTATCATCTACTTGGTTACCTGGGTTATTCTTTATGTTTTTAAGCCCACTCACTTCTAAAATAATCTCAATTTCAACTACTTCTCACATCTCCATTACCATAACCTTAGTGCAAACTAGTATCACTTTTTATCAAGTGTCTACATTCACTTTGTAGTCTAGATTCTAGACCACTGTAATGGCTTCCTGATTGATTTCCCTGTCTCTACTCTTGACTCCCATCCCCATCCTTTCCATCCTTCAGAAAACCGGATTTTTTTTTCTTTTTCCCCTTTCTCCTTTAATTCCTTTCTCTTTACAGTACCGGCATTGAACCCAGGGCCTTAAAGTAAAATTCATTCATAGCCCCACCCCCTTTAAAATTTTTTTTGAAACAGGGTCTCACTAAATTGCCCAGGCTGTGCTCAAACTTGCAATCTTCTTGCCTCAGCCCCCCAGCGTGTTGGGATTATAGGCATGCACCACAATTCCTGGCTCCCAAATTTTGCATACATAATCACCATGATGCAGGTTATGTCACTCCCTTTCTTAAAATTGTCCAGTGGCTTCCAATATCAACAACTGTCTTGGTCATTTTGAACAACTATATAAAAATACCACAGAGTAAGTGACTCAAAATAAATAAATAACATTTATTGTTCATGGCTCTGGAGGCTAAGAAGTCTAAGATCAAGGCACTAGCACATGAAGTGTCTAGTGAGGATTCCTTTCCAGGTTCACAGGTGACCATCTTCTCAAAGTGTTCTCAAATAATGGAAAGAGCAAGGAAGATTTTGTGGGTGTCTTTTATAAGGGCACTAATCTCTCATGACCTCATGACTTCTCAAATGTTCCACCTCAGACTATCACATAGGAGATTAGATTTCAACATATGAATGGAGAGAGGTTAGAAACATTCAGTCTATTGTAATCATAATACAAATAAGCAAGTAAATTCCACATTTATGGTCTACAAAGCCTTATATATTTCAAAAACGGCTTACTTCTGAGATCCCCCTTTCCCAGTTATAATATCCTAATTTTCTGGTTCTTAAATAGATCAAATTCATTCCTGAGTCAGGCATTTTGCATTTGCTTGAAAGGAATTTCCCCTGTATCTCTTGCACACTTGTTGTTTCTCATAACTCAGGTCTCAACTCAAATGTCCACTTCTTCACAGAATAGCTACCCTCACCATATTAGGAGTTAAGACTTCCTATCCCTGAAATTTCGTATCATATTATATTATTGTGTTCTCTATGGTTGTCAATAACAGATATTAGTTAATATTTAAAATATAGTTTATATTCAATTTTTTTTTTTGCTATCCTTACCTGTCTGAGAAACCACTAGGGTGGGGGCTATTTCTGTCTTATTAGTAACTATGTCCTTACAACCTATAACAGTATTTGATACATGGTATATATCAAGTAAATGTTAATAAATGACTTAACTATTCCAAGGAGGCTACCCTTTTTCTAGTCTAAGTCTTGACAGAAACAAAAAGAAATGAAATTTCACACAAATCTATTTAAAAAAAATTTTTTTTTGGTGTTTTGAGACAGGGTCTCACTATGTAGTTGAGGCTGAACTGGAACTCACTATGTTGGTCTTGAACTCACAGCAATCCTCCTGCCTCAGTCTCCCCAGTGCTGGGATTACAGGCGTGCGCCACTATTTAAAATTAATTTTATATTCAGTATATCATTACAACTTTAAGCAGTCCTCAGATGAGAAAAATCTTATTATGATAAAATACATGTTTATAATGTTAGCACATTTTAAGACTTCATCACCTATACATCTTTTATATATCATATCTAGGTCAAACTTTCCAGTTCTTCAGTCACTTACATTCTGTAATAAAAATATCAACTTGTAAATTTCTTAGTGTTTTGCTATGAATAACTGCAATGAGTCTTCAATTAATAAAGCACTGTATTTTCTTAACAACTTAACTCTGAAATAATTTTTAAAACATATTTTTGTGGGCTGGGGGTGTAGCTTAGCAATAGAGTGCTTGCCTAGCAAATGCAAGGCCCAGGATTCAATCCCCTAAAGTATAAAAACAAAACAAACCCCCTGGCAACAGGTACAGAGACATTTCATTGGTGGTGGTGTTCTTATATCAGTCAGGGACAGAGCAGATGACAATCCTTTGTCCATCACAGCTCCATGCACGGGTTGGTGGCCAAAGCTGTTTCATGCCTACGGAACATAAAATCCTAACCTTTGCCTTTGTTCTCTTCTTGGATCTTGAAGGGGGAATGAATCAAACACTAGACTTGTAAATTACTTAGTGAGGCTCAAGGAACAAATTTTTAAACATTCTGTAGCAGATGTCATAATTATCCTGATGGAACTTCTGGGTGCAAATAATGTAAGCAAGACGTTAAGAGTAGAATTTCATTCTAGGACTCTTCGGTCCAGAACATGCTTTATTTTGAGAATAGGATATTTGTCCTGCTGCTTTATAATTAGAGTGGGAAATTTAAAAATTATTCAGGCTTTATTATGAATCAATGTATACTCAGGAAATAGACAAATAAAATACTGTCTGCCATGTCCTTAAGACCTGGGTTTAAGGAGAGAATTACTGCTTGCCATTTGCCCCTTGTTCTCTCTCAAAATGGGCTTCATAGTGGTGCATATCTCAAGATTGTCAGAAATTAGAGGCATTAAGACTAAGAATCAGGGCCGGGCCAGGTGTGGTAGGGCACCCCTGTAATCCCAGAACATAAGAGGCTGAAGCAGAAGGATCCTGTGAGTTCTGGGCCATCCTGGGATACACAGTGATTTCAAAGCCAGCCTAAACCACATAGTGATACCCTGTCTCACACAAACAAACAAACAAAAAAGAATCAGGGGCTGATGTGTCAGAATTAGTGAATGAGTGCCTTTTTCTGTCTGGGTTCAGATATAAAAGGTGGTCATGGTATTAGGAGATTATATGGGTGCCTTGTGTCATGCCTGTATTGGGGGCACCATTGTGCATGCTGAGGTACAGAACTGCAGATAGAAGCTCCCCATATCATTGTGGGAATCCCTGGCCGGATGTTTGATATGCTTAACTGGGGACACTTGTCTCCCAAATACATCACGATGTTTGTGTTACACAAAGTTGATAAAATGTTGAGCCATGGATTCAAGGAGTAGATTTATGACATACTCCAAAAGCTCAACAACAATATCTAGGTGGTTTCGTTGTCAGCTACAATGCCTTCTGATGTACTAGAGGTGACCAAGAAATTCATGAGGGACTCCATTCGAATTCCTGTCAAGAAGAAAGGCTCGGGACTGTGGATTTAGCTCAGTGGCATAGTGCCTGCTTGGCAGGCATGAGGTCTCAAGTTTGATCCTTGGTATTAAAAAAAAAAAGAGAGAAAGAAGACTTGACCCTGGAAGGTATGCAGCAATTCTGCATTAATGTGGAATGAAAGGAATGGAAACTGGACATACTTTTTGACTTGTGTGAAACCCTGACCATTATCCAGGCAGTCATATTCATTAATAGCGAAAGGAAGGTTTATTGGCCCCCTGAGAAGATGCATGCCAGACACTTCACTGCCTCTGGCACTCATGGACATAGGGACCAAAAGGAATTGTGAGATGGACAAGAGAGATGTGACCACGAGGAAGTTTTGGTCTGGCTCTAGCAGAATATTGATTATTGTACCACTGATTCGCTGGCCAAAGGCATGGACGGCGGGTTTCTTTAGTCATCAACTTTGATCTTCTCACAAACTGGGAAAACTGAATATTATAAACAACTGGTCATGGTGGGCATTTTGACCATAAGGCCATTAACATGGTGGCTATTAACACACATAGTGATAGAAGAAGAAAAGAGAACTCTTTGTGACATCGAGACTTTCTACAACACCTCCATTGAAGAAATGCCCCTCAGTGTTGGTGACCTCATCTGAGAGGGGCTGTTCTACTGTCCAGTCCCACCAGAGTTCAATTTTGGGGAGCTGAGGGGCAGTTGTACAGGGAAGGCAAGGAAGTCAAGGGATGGGCATCTTGTCCATTTTCTTTCTTTTTTGAATAAAAAAAAATCACTTTTTGAGGAAAAAAACCCCAAACACATATTTTTGAGAAATAAAAACAAAACATACCTCTTGTCCATGGCCTTCTATATTTATCATCAGTGACTCCTGCATAATTTTCATCTTGATAGAAACACGAAGGCATTTGAAGCAATAAGGCATCTTGGTAAAACTTTTTTCTAACTACATTCTGTATAAAAAAGTAAGATTATAAAAATTTTAACATATATTGTGCATCAATATCCAGAATATTAAAAATTCTCTATTTTTTAAACTTACAGAATTTTTCTATAACAGTAATATATACTTGTTATAAAATATCTAATAACACAGAACCATACAATTGAGAAAATCAAGTTCCCTAGCAATTATTAGTAATAGTTTGATATATCATCCTACAGATTTTTTTTTCTAATTAGGCTTAAATGTGTGTGTTGGACAAAAATAATGGGATTACATGATGTGTATATTGTTATGGTCTGTAGGTACATGTCCCCCCAAAGCCTCATGCACTAAGTGGCTGGATCTAGGGTGCGTGGTACTGGGATGAAGAGTATGTGATAATTAAATTGGTTTAGCATAGTCCTGGGTGTGGATAATGGAAGGCCTACCTCGGGTGTAAGTGGCACCACCCCAAAGTCTTATAACACGAATGGACTAAAGAGAAAGAGAGGCTAACTGCTTGCTGCCTCCTACCTGCCCTGCCATGGACAGCTTCTCCTCTGGGATGCCCCTCTGCCATGCCACCCTCCCTTGGACTGAAAATGGACTGAAATGGACTGAAACCTCTACAAACTGTGAGCTGAAATAAACCTCTTCTTTAACTTGAGAGTGTCGAGTATTTTGTCTCAGTAAAAAGAAAAGTAACTAAGACATTTATCACTTAACACCTTTTTTTCCCACTAACCAGTATAATGTAGCTGTCTTAATTTTTGTTTTCCATGCCTTTCCATTATTTTACTTGTTAAAACCAGAAAATGTCTCTAATTTAAAAATGTATATCTGGTGAAGAAAACTGTTCCTTTAAAGTGATGTGAAATCAGTTGAGTAAATTAAGGAAAGTTCTAATTTAGCTCTGCTTTCACTTTCCAACTTTAACTTCCATTACTCTTTTCTTCCCCCTAAGTAGACAAGTCCTTTCTGAACTCCCCAATCTCTTCACATTCAGCGGTCACTTCCTTATCAACAGCACCATCTACAGTGTTTCTCTGAAAATGCTCTTCTTTTTTTCTCTAGCTATCAAAATTCTTTCATATTGGACAAAGGGCAGTTTCTTGAATTTTTTCCCAAGAGTTTTTTGTTTGCTGAAGGTTTATAACATGTTAAATAAGAGATTATCATTATCTAAGAATAAACAATATAGAGAAAAGATCATTTAAGATAATTTATATAAAACAAGGGCCAAAGATTCATAGGAAGTAAGAAAAAAGCTTGATTAGGCTTTTATCTAAAAAGAATAAAGTTATAAAATATAACTTCATCAAATAAAAATTTATAATTAAATTATAACTGCTTTTTGTCATAATTTTTACAAAACTATGTAATGTATATCTTAGTCATTACGTTGATCATAAAGAAAATGTTTTTAGAAAATATTTGAGGAGTTAAAATATCTCTTACTGCTTTTCATATTCAAATTATTCTCTTCCTCTTGTTTGTTAATTGATCTAATTTTGCAAAATCTTCATTTGATAATAGCCTTACTTCTTATTTGTGTGTGATTCTTCAATACTGTCTTCATAAACTTTACTCAGTGATGTACCTTTACAAGATTTGCCAATGGATCACAGAGGAAATCAGGGGAAAAAGATTGAAAAGTTTCTAGCATCAAATGACAGTGGAAATACAACATACCAAGAACTACTGGACACAAGACAGCAATTTGAAGAAAGAAGTTTACAGCTATAAATTTACAAGGAAAGAACAGAGCAATCCCAAATAACCTAATAATGCATCTCAGGGTCCTAGAAAGATAAAAATAGTCCAAATCTGACACTAAGAAAAGAAATTTTAAAGATCAAAGTGAAAATTAAGGAAACTAAGACTTTAAAAACCTACAAAGGATCAATGAAGCAAAGACTTGGTTCTTCAAAAGAATGAGAAGAATGCGAAATGGAAAATTAACTTGCTAGGATCATGAGGATGAAGGGAGATGGGAAGGAGAACAGAGGAAGGAGAAGTACAAAGGGTTAAGATAGAATATGTATTTTACCAATGCCTCACGATGATGTATTTACTATGTATCACAAACATGTATTAATAAAAAGATGTGCCACTGGTATCATATTTTATTATAGCATGGAGTATTGTACACCAGCAAGAAACTAAGATACCATGAGCAAGAATAAAAGCTTCAGGATATATGAATATATATGTTGTACTTTCACCAAGTGTCAATAAATGTATCATAATAACTTCTTATTCCTTACCAGTAATACTGAACCACATATAGTCTGTTGCATATCTTATAACTATACATTTGCCTCCCTTGGTTGTGAGGAAATAATAAAACCTAAAGATGCTTTCTTATGTCTTGTAAAATATTTATATATTTTTTGTTTGTTTTTCTGAGACAGAGTCTCACTATGTAGTCCAGGCTGGCCTTGAAGTCACTAGATAGCCCAGGCTGGCCTCAAACTCACAGCAATCCTCCTGCCTCAGCCTCTTGAGTGCTGGGATTACAGGTGTGTACCACCACACCCAGCCATTACCTATAAAATATAGCAGTTTTAGTTTTACTGAAGAATTTTTTTTGTCCTGTAGATGTGGTCAATGTTATAAAGAAATGAAAATTAATTTGCCAAGATCATAAGACAGTGAACTCCTGTATGACAATTATTTCAGTACATTTCTTAACAATACACTTGGGTTAGAATATCACTTCAAGTCTCCGGCCATACTACCTGGAATGTGCCCGATCTTGTCTATCACCTCCAATATTAGTACAAGCTATTTAACTTCTCTGGATAGCAATTTCCTAACCTGTAAAATTGTAAAACCTCAGAATAATAGTCCATCTTGCCCAACATAAGTAGCCAATACCAGCTATTATTGTTGTAATAAAGATAAAGACTACTTTTCCCCAATTCCTTCCAAAAAAGATTGTTTTAGAGTGTTGGTAAAGACACTCTAAACTTGTCAAGTTTCATTGTTTTTCTTCTGATAACTTCAGATTCATTTAATTATTTTAATAATTTCCTTCCAGAAGGGGAATTTTTGAGGTAAATTAAAAGTGGAAAGTAATTTTAAATGAATCTGAAAGTAATTACAGTGAGGATTAACCTATGCATTACTGCAAATTATCATATACTATATGCAAATAATACTTCGCAGAACATAATAATTAGTAAGTACACAGTAGGCCAGTAATACTGTACCTCATATAAATAGTCTTTTGCACAATATTTGAATGCTGAAAACATATCTTATTTCTTTGAAAGTAGTTCAATTTCAACATCTGGAAATAAAAGAATTAAATGTTGGTAAAATAGCATAAAATCTCTCAATCTCTCATAATCACAAAACTTTGGCTGATTCATTATTTTAAAAAAGGTTCTGAATAACCTGGATAAGCTGTTGCTGCTATCGATGCATAACATACCGCTATTAGTCTTTTTATATAAATATAAATATATATACAT